GGAAATTTGAATAAATTTTTATGAGACAATTTGGATAACACATTCAGTTCCCTAGAATATTTATATTTCGGCTGTTTTAAAATAAATTTCATTATACTAGACATTAAGCATTATAAAAAAAGAAACCTCGATTGAATTGGAGCAAAGAGAGCATGAAACAAGCCTGTTGCAGCTGTCATTGATGATGTGGTTTCGGTTTTAGAAACTGCGCAATCATTTCATGTTCCATACACGAGCTTGTACGGGAAAGTACAATCTTAACAAAAACAAATATAATGAAAATGATGTTCCTAGAACTTATATTGGGCGTCCTGCTGTGTTTTAGTAGCATTTTAGAAAATTTTAGAAAGAGTTAAATATCTCGAAGCCAGAGATTCTCTTACTAATTTCTGTTTAATTTTGTCTGAAATGTGCAATTTAATATTTAAAACACAATAAATAAATATAAATAGATAAATAGATAAATATAATGTTTTGCTTTTGTTATAATATTAATGTTAAAAAGTTCATTTATGCCCGTTGTACTTAAAATACTCTGGGACTAACATGATCATTTAATGTTTCTCTAATTTATGTTTAATTTTAATTTATATCTTTCTAATTTGTGTTTTATTTGATTTAGAAAATATAATAAAATGTTCAAAAAAACATTTAAATATAAAATTTGGTTATTATTATAATATTAATGTTCATTTTCAATATTATTCAAATTACTCCTTAAAATTGACTTTCGTTAAAATTGTAGTGGTAAATCGGATAATGACGCTGCGTTTCAGGATTTAAAGAATAACGTTTCTTATATTGGGTAATTATTCTTTAAACATGTACATACGTTTCCTGTCCCAATTTAAGAATAAAATTATTACTTTTCGAGAAATTGTTCAAAAAGTTTAAAATTATTCAAATTACCCCGCTGTACCCTACTCAAATTTATCAAAATTATATTTATTGTTCTCACTTTTCCGCGATGTCGAATTGATTGTCTCGCTGCGTTTACTTCGTGAGCGACTGTAATTGGATATGTTGACAGTTGTATATTAAGGTTGCAATAATAGTGTAAAGCAAATACATTAAAAAGTAAAAAATATTAAATAGGGCGCGCGTAGCGCACGTCTGTAATGCTAATGATAATTAAAAGTTTAATTGCAAAAGCATTTACGCTGCAATCATTGTTATATGTTTCGATGCAGAAAATTGAAGAAATGAGTTCTATCTCACATCTGGAAAGTTGCATTATTTTTCGACAGTGCAATTCGAAGCAACCCAAATGAGGCCGCGAAAGAGCTCCAAAGGAATGACGGAGGATGATTAAAAAAGGTCCAAAACCATGACCCGTCGGAAAAAACAATGGCAAAAGAACGCGGTGTCCGCCGCTCGTTCACAGTCATTTTCGTGCTGATTACAGACATTACAGTGTAGAGTTTTGCGCGCTATTACACAACGTTGCAAAATAAAAAAAGAAAGTAAGTGTGATAGAAGACAAGAACTGACTTAATCGATTCTTTCTGTTAATTTTGCCGGAAAATATATTTTGCAATATTCGAATTAATTGCTTTTATTTTTTGCAAAAAATTTTTTAATAACTAAAAATTTATTTAATTAATTAACAATATAATAAAAAATTTTAATGATAAATTTTTAAATTTAGAATTTTATTAATATTGTTTATAATATTGTTTTTTAATTCCTCGTTATGTAATGTTATATAATTATAAAATCAAATTTGTATATGTAGCATAATTCAATGCTGATTTATTGAATTAGTTTAAAATTAATTACTTTTACAAGTAAGCAAAAAATTAATATTAAAATTAAGAACACTGAAGTATCACTGTGCTAATGTCTTTATTTCTAAAAAAAATACAAGTATATAACAAAGTTTCAAATTAATTATTGTATAATATCAGAAATAATATAAATAAATGTCAACATTAAACTGTTACGTGAACTGGCACGAATAATATAATCGTATTAAAGAAATGACAAAAAAATAAGAAGTTAATTATATCAGTCTAATACTGAGCTTTTGAATTAAATACTCTTGAAATATTAAAAAGATTCCAAATTTATTCTAAAATAAATTAGAAAAGGATATATAAGAGATTATAAGAAAAATTGTTTGTCAAAACTACAAAATGAATTATATTTAAAAAAAATTATTTGTTTTGTCGATTTTTATGTAAAATGATATAATATTAATTATTTTCGGAACATTAGTGCAACATTAGTGAATTTATTGCATAACGTTCTGGTTCGAGACAGTACGCATGTCCACAATCGGGATATATTATGTCTAATAGACGTTTTACTTCCTGTTTTAAACATGCAAACTGTCCTAGAAATCATTAAAAAAAAGATTGCACATTAGTTTTATGAATTTACATGAAAGAACGCTTTTATATTTGTATTGATGTCGACATTCTAATTGAATCCAAAAGAAGATGCTTATAAATAACGAGTTTTCCGCTTCATCAAATCTCGCTATCTGATTTACATAAGACACCGGATATATAAAGGATTTTCCTAACATAACTCCGTGTCGATTGCATGCCGTGTCAGGCATTGACACGGTTTCCCATGTGTCTGGAAGCATTATTATTCTTCGAGTCGCCCGGCGTATTAGATACGAGCCGACACACTCACGTTCATTGTTCCGATGCGTGTTACAGCAGATGTATACGTAGATAGCAAAAAAAAAACGGTGCTAAGCAAAAATAACCTTCCATTCAGAAAATATCAGTATCAAAAGATTGAAAACAACAAAAAATAAATTAAGAATAATAAAAATAATAAAATGTTAAATTGTGAATAATAAAATATAATAAAATGTTGAATTGTTATAATTTTTTCCTATAAAAACTGGATATTCAAAGTACTGGATTTGAAATATATATATATATATATATATATATTTTGTGATTATTATGTAATATAAAAAAATGTTCAAATATAGTGAAGTAGTTGCCCATGAGAGCCGACATGGGTGTTGGTGTGTGAAATAATTAATAATATTGTAACAATAATTCTTATTGTTACAATATCCAACCA